GAAACGGAAGATGAAATAGAGAGTGCTTGGCGGTTGGGAAGAGAAAAAAATAACGGAAAGCCGCGCCCGGTGGTTGTGCGATTGAGAAGTCGTAAGGCTCGCGATAAGTGGTGAAAACCAAGAAAACGATGTATAAATAATAATCAGCTTTATGGAGATATAATCGAAGGTCCAATTTACATAAATGAAAATATTGCTCCACAAACTCGAGAATTATTTTATCTCGCTAAGAATAAATTAAAACGTTCATATAAGTTCATTTGGATACAAAACTTTAAAGTACTTATTAAGAAAAGTGAAGTGCAAAATAAAATTTACCAAATTAAAAGTGAGAAGGATATCGAAAACCACCTTCTAGGTGATAGTAATTTGCGTCTTTAATGGTGAGAAAAAAGGGCACCATTGTGCAAAATGGTAACAATGGCATTTATTATGAACGAATTTATAACAAAGACCGACTACAACAGTTCATGGATGAACAAAATGCGTGAATAAATATTGTACATCTTTATATATAAAAATTACGTGTCACATTGTTTGTCCGCGATGAACTCTTAAACTATTGAACTGATTTCAATGAAATTTTGCACACTGTGTGCAGTTTGGTTCAACTTGAGAGATATGATACTTTTTATCCCGATAAGTGACCTTCAATATTTTTTACATACATATACATATAATCAAGCCTCTTTCCCGTAGGGGTAGGCAGAGACCACTTCTTTCCACTTGCTACGATCCTTACATACTTGTTTTGCTTCGTCCACTTTCATTATTCCCTTCATACATGCTGCTATACGGTTTAGGGTACTCTTGACCTGACCTTTTTTTTTTATTGGTATATAGGATTTTTTTTCATAGGACGGGTCGTCGGAAAGGGCAGAACAACGCCAGCTAATTTAAATATAAGATCTACGCGTAAAAAATTTAATGAAATATTGGTGTTGTTGGATGGATATTTAAATAAGCTAGAAATTATAGTATTAACAGAAATAAATTTAAAAGAATACGAAATACCATTGTACCATATACCGGGCTACAATACACATGCACATACAAGAAATAATCGAAGAGGAGGAGGAGTTTTAATGTTTGTCAAAGATACAATAATTTGTACACCAACTGAATATAGTGGTATTTCTTGTGAGGTATTGCATGGCCTTATGACAATAAAGAATGAACGACCTTTATACGTTATCGTCGTATACAGGCCCCCACATACTAATAAAAATAAATTTGTAGTAGAAATGGATGAATTATTGCGGGGTGTCCCAGCAACGACTGATATTATCCTGGCGGGTGATGTCAACATTAACATTTTACACGGTACAGTAAATTCGTGAACATCGAGATAAAAGACATGCTATGTCAGTACGGGTTGCAGTGTGCCTATGATGACGTCACGAGAGAAGAGATAATTGATGGGCGTTTGGTCGTGTCCTGCATCGATCATATGTGGGTAAGGGACGGAGGATACTCGGCGCCGCCTGCATTGTTTGTTTATACAGCTCAGAAGATAACGGATCATTATTTAACGGGACTTACTTTGTGTAAACGTAATTATGGAGAGAGTGAACAGCCTGAATATGTAAGTACAATTATTGATAACAAAGTAGTGAGTGCAGTTATTTGGTCGAACCTTTTATCTATTAACTGTCCATTAAAACTATAATAATTTATGTGATATTTTCGATGACATATATAAATAAAATATAAAACAGTGATGAGTAATAAAAGATATAAACCGTGAATTACAAATGAACTTATTCTAATGACTATAAAAAGGGATGAACTTTTTAAAAGATCGAAATCTGTTCCTCAAAACATGTGTTATAGGTTAGAATATACAAGATATAGAAATAAGTTAAATAAGCGTATTAACCTAGTTAAGAATAACTAAAAAAAAGTAAATTTGGATGATTTTGTATTACAAGTTACAACGTTTTAGTAGTAATAGTAATATAAGTTCAATTTGTACAGGTTTTCCTAAAATAGATACAATTAAGCATAAATGTAAAATGAAATTTTTGGATAGAAGTAAATATGTTAATGAAAGTTTGGTAAGTATAAGATATAGAAAAACGACTCCATGCCAAATTGAAAAAATAATTAATGAATTGTCGTGTGAAAAAGCTCCTGGTGTTGAAAAAGTTCATGGAATAAGAGTCAAAGATTTAAAATATGTTAAAAATTAAATTAGTCCTGTAATTGCTAAATTTATACATTTATGTGTAGAAAAAGGTATATATCCAGATAGGCTTAAAAAGGCAAAAATTCAACCTATTTATAAACAAGGAAGCCATAAAAATTATGAAAATTACAGAACTATTGCTATCCTTTCCGTCATAAACAAGATAGTCGAAAAAGTAATTGTCAAACAAAGGACACTAGAGGGCGCTAGTGGGAACTAGTGTTGCCATATACAAGACATTAATAGTAGCGCGCAACACTGCCCCCTCCTAAGACATGCTCGTTCCGAGCATTATTGGCCCCATAATAACGCGCCAGTCGATCCACATGGACGATCTTAGGAGTACCTCTGGCACCTTTCTGTATCCGGTAGGTTACGTCATTGATCCTTGTCACAATCCGGTACGGTCCGTCCCATTTAGCTTGAAGCTTAGGAGATTTCCTTTTGCTGCGAACTGGATTGTGTAACCACACTAGTGAACCTTCGTCAAACCCTTTGTTGTTCATTTTGCGGTCATACCGTGTTTACATCTTCTCAGACGTTTACTGGCCCGTCTGTCTGACGTGTTCATAAATGTCATTCATTTTGTATCCATTATTGCGGTCACGAACTGTAGCTGCTGCAATCTCCCTGACGCGATAGGAACGATGATCCTCTCGCACGGCTTCCACCTCCAGTGCATGGGCCAACGCGTCCTTAAGCGTCTCGTGATGCCCGAGCTTCACAGCAGCTCTGACTTTAAGGTCGCGGATGCCGTCGATGAATGTCTGCACCAGGTTCCCTACAATGAGCGTAGGTGCAGACTAATATGCTTTTCGAACCAGCTTCTCCACCTCAATGGCCCACTGCTGCAGGTTTTCGTTACTGCGTTGCGCGCGATCTTTGAGCTGCGCACGAAAGACCAATCCAATGCCTCAAGGAGCTGCTCGTAAGTCACTTCCTTACCGAGAGCTTCTAGAATTGTTAAGTCCTAGTCGCGCAGGCCTAGGGTGAGAGCAGTCATGGCCTGACTTTTATTCCAGCCGTTCGCCTTCATGACATCCTCGAATTGGATTTTGTAGGCCGACCAGGAAGAAGTCCCGTCGAACGACGGAACTTTGAATCCACGTAGCGAAGGTGTTGTAGCAACCACGGGAGATGTAACTCCATCCCCAAGTTTGTGGTCGTCCAGCGTTTTCTTCACGTCAGCCGTCACGTTGTCAACCCGATTGTACACTTGGTCGATTCGGGTTTCAGCTTCCGACAGGCGGTTGTCATATTGAGCAACCTTATACTTCACCTCCCTTATCTCTTTCCCGAATGTAGCGTGAAGGTCCTTCATGATAAGTATCTGCGCTTCCTTATCGCGTTTGAGCTGCTCTTCCAACCGACGGCCCTGTTCCTCCTGTTGGCGGGCCTGTTTCTCTTGTCCGCGCTGCAGCTGCTCTTCCAACCGACGGGCCTGTTCCTCCTGTCGGCGGGCCTGTTCCTCCTGTCGGCGAGCCTGTTCCTCCTGTCGGTGAGCCTGTTCCTGCAGCATCATCATCAGAGCACCTAAGTCAGGTGCTGCAGATGCAGGAGCTGCTAACGGGCCGGACTCCGTGGTCGGCAACTGGCCCGCCGACGTCTGTGACGTTGCACCACCAAATCGTCTCTGGTCCGTCTCCTGTTGACGTTGACTTCGGGTACGGATACCCTCCGTGTCGTCTTTAGGTAAAATCGGCATATGTGATCCCACTTCTGACACCAATTGTTACGAGCTTGAGGTTCGAGATAATGAAAAACTGCCGAGTCAATTACCAAAATTGACACTTTAATTACACAACACTAATTACAACTTAAAATCACACTAATAATAAAACACAGTTGTACTACTGATCACTTTAGTTCGCCGTTATTTCGCTTCGAAGTATTCTCTTGTATCGCCAATTCAATACTGACTCGGTCGTGATCTATACCGGCTTTATATAGGGCCTCTGATAGTTTCCAGAACCTTCTACTGTAGCGACATCTAGAATGTTCGAGCACATTTCGGTCCCGAAATTTCTAGATGGATCGTGACTCTCCTAGTTCTGCTACTCGAAACTAGAGGGTGCTAGTGGGAACTAGTGTTGCCATATACAAGACATTAATAGTGGCGCGCAACAGTACTAATAAATAGTAAATTTTGACATTTGTATCGTGATGATCCATTATACAACTATATAAGCCGTAGTTATTATATATGGGTGTGTACCTGTGTATGTATATGTGTATGTGTATATGTATATATCGATACTATTGATTTGTTATATTTGAAAGTGTATATTTGTATTAAGCTTTTCCCTTTTCTTTGCATGTTAGGAAGTAAGAGAGCATTTTTCTTCTGCCAACAAACTGCTGAGCAGTTTGGCAGATTGTAACACTTTAATAGTGTAAATTTAAATAATTTTGTTGAATAAAATAAAAAAATAAGCAAAAATATATTTTTTAATTTTATTTATTAATACGATCCTAAGCCCGTTAAAAGTGTAAAAGGAAAATTGGAATCATAATTCGCGTCATGTAATTATTATCTTAAGCATAAGTAATAAGCGTGTCACTAAGAACGTAAACAGTAGGCAAAAACTTGAGAAACAAAAGCGTGAATTTAATCACACACACAGGAGCGCGCGTAAGAGTAGTTGTTGCCCATAAAACGCATTAAATTTGGGATAATTTCAAATATAAGTAGAAGCCTTATTTACTAGTATTTTCGAAAAATGTAATATCGGTATATAAATTATTTATTTATTTGAACTTCAATGTAAAATTTGGCTATTGTTTGAAAAATAACCCTGTATATTTTTAACAGGAAAGAGCGAAATCGCACGGCTACAGTAAAAGTTCCTGAAACAAACATTGGGGCGGAAGTACAGTGTGCACTGAGATGGGCAGTACGAGGAACATTACTACTATGGCTTCTTATGCTAACATGGATATGCGCAGCTCTTTACGATCAAGTGACAACGATGCGGATGGATATAGCTAAAGGTACCTGTATTTTTATTAACCCTCGACTCAAACAGCCCCTCTGTTATATGTTTAACGTGTGTATCTGTGTATATCATCGTAGCTCCCAAACAGATGAACCGACGTAGATTTAGTATTTTGTGTTTGAATGGTGATTTAATCGAAAGTGTTCTTAGCTATGATTCAAGAAAGTCTTTTCAGCAGTTTGAAGATCATCATTTTTTTTTCTGGGGTTTCTTAAATTTTCAATTTAAGTTATCGTGAATAGGGCTCTAAATAAAATAACCTGATAACAATATATTATTTAAATATTTCACCTTTTAGTAAAGTTTTTCTAAATTCTCATAAAACAATTCATCAACAACATGTTTGGTTTCCGAAATATTTTGAAATCATCGCAAAAATTGTGATATCATAAATATTTTTTGTATAATGTTGTTACGAGAGCTAGTTATTTGTTGCGTCACGTTTCACGATAAACTCCCAAAGATAATGTTCACGCCCACACCTAACAATATTTATGTTACAAGTGGTAAAATTAAAAATTTTATGTAACCAACTTCAATGTAAATAAAATGAGTACATCATCAATGTAGTCGAAGTCAATTAAATACGCATTATTAAGGATAATTCAAAAACTACTGATCAGATCTTAATCAAATTTATATGGGACGGACTACATGAGAAGCACTAGCTTTCAAATAAAAATAATCATCTCATCATCAAAATCATCATCAATAATAGAATGAATCATCAAAATGCGTTCACCTAGAAAAAAAGTTCTGAGGAAACACATAAAAATACATTTGAATTGATCTAACACAAGTGGTAAAGTTAAAAATTTTGTGAAAACGACTTTAAATTATTAAGGATAACTCTTAAACTACTGGTCAGACCTTGATCAAAAGCATCTGTATCGTCAGAAATTTTTTGTACAGATACTAAGTTCACGAAAATTTTCAAAGATTTAAAGAAACAGGTTTTGAAGTTAAAAAAGGACTTTTTGAAAAAATTCTTGGTTATTGCTCTTTCTTTTGAGGTATCATTTACGCGGATATGTCTTAAATTATTAAAATTAGTTTTAATGCTAAATCCTTTGCTATTTCCTATGACAAACCCAATTTTCGTAATGAGGTATAAATATCAGCTTCCTGTCAAAAGTAACCCCTAAATCCTTTATAACCTCGCCCTCTTCAATAACATACTCATCTTTTTGTAATAAAATGGAATAAAGTTTACTTCTCTGGTAAAGGGGTCAATTTCTTTATGTATGGAGAATGGGCCCACCACAAAATGTGGCTTAACTGGTGGTTACAAAAATAATATTAGTCTTGCCGAATCTTACGGGAATACTGAGAAATTAAGAATTAAAATGTAAAAATAACAATAACCTAAAAATAAACTAAAAGTGATTGTCTGGTACTTTTCACCGGTATTATAAGTTAAAGTAGTGCACTGTTCAATAATTAATAGTATAAAACAAAGTTGTAGGTAGATAATGTTTATAGGTAGTTTAAAATTGATGGAAAATCCTTTTAGTGATACCAGCAAAATATAGTGCACAGACAGACATACAAACGTAGTGTGGGTTGTAAGTCATCATTTCCAAAGTAGTCTCTTAAAAGTACAATAGAGAGACAGACATGCGCGGTGTCAGAACTTTGTTTTAATATGTTTTGATTGATTAGTAAGTATACACCGTAAATAACATTAAACCCATAATTACTGGATAATAACATACCCATTTATGATTATAAACATTAATAAATAAATAGCAAGTTAATGTTTTGAAATGGTTGTGTTTGGATAAAAAAGACAATGTATAATATCACAATATTTATTACAGACATATTTCTTATATTTAGCACGAACAGACAGGTGTGGTGTGGGAACTTTGTTTATATATATGTATGTATTTATTGATTGGTTAAAATACATCCCAAACAACATTTCAGTCTAGTAATGTGAACAGTGATAAACATTAAGTAAGACATTTTAAATTGGTTGTGTAATGATAGAAAAACATATATAATGTAATTGTATTTATTATCGTTCATCATCATAATCATTACAGCCCTTCACATCATCCATCACCATTACAGCATCCATCGACTTCCTGCATATTTTACCAGGTCGTCACTCCATCTAGTGGGGGGACGCCCTACACTTTGTCCGCCGGTACGAGGCCGCCACTCGAGAACCTTTTTCCCCATCGGTTGTCGGTCTTTTTCCCGATCGGTGTCCCTTCGGAATATATGGCCGGCCCATTGTCACTTCAGCTTACTTATCCGGTGGGCTATGTCGGTCACTCTGGCTCTACTGCGAATATCCTCATTTCTAAGTTTATCACACAGAGAAACTCCGAACAGAGCCCTCTCCATAACTCGCTGAGCGACCTTGAGCTTCTTCATCCGGCCAGCAGTGAAGGACCACGTCTCAGTTCCATAGGTCATCACTGGCAACATGCACTGGTTGTACATTCTCGTTTTCAAGTTTTGAGGTATCCTGACGAGAAAATGTGCCCTAATTTCCCGAACGCTGCCCAACCGAGTTGGATCCGTCATTTGATCTCTCGGTTGAAGTTGGACTTACCTAGTCGGACTATTTGTCTCAGGTAAACATACTCGTCAACAACTTCGAGCTTAGTGCTCCCAACAACTACCGGCATAGGTGTGATAAGGACGTTATACATGACCTTTATTTTGTCCATGTTCATCTTAAGACCTATCCGTTGGGAGAGGCACTATTGAGGTCATTGAGCATAGTGTTTAGGTTCTCCAGCGATTCTGCCATAAGGACTATATCGTCGGGAAATTGGAGGTGATTGATGTACTCGCCGTTGATGTTAATACAGTACTTTCCTGTCCAAAAGCTTGAAAACGTCTTCCAATGCAGCGGTGAAGAGTTTCGGGGATATAACGTCGCCCTGTCTTACACCTCTTTGCAGTTGGATAGGTGTCGTACTCTGGTTCTGTACTCGAATAGCCAAATAAGCCCTACTGTACAAACACATTCATCATTTCGATATACCGACAGTCAACTTTTTAACAGTGGTAGAGCCACTTGGCAGCTTTTGCTGTATCACGGATGGGCTGGCTCGAACTGGGGTGGTACCACGAACTCACAGAATACCAGCGTGAAGTAGAGGTTTACCTCTGTGTTCCGCTTGGTGGCCGGAGCCGGCACTTCTGCAACATCAGGGGACTTCATTCCAACTTTACCGCTGTCCATTACTATCTAGAGACGGCGAAGCCGGCCTTGCTCTTTTTAACCGAGGCTCGGGTGTCCTCTGCGGCTGATACTTCATATCTCTCCTACCCGGGGTACAAATTAGAACACTCCTTTGTGCCCCGGGCTGGATTTTGCGTATACGTCAGAGAGGACATCTGTTTTGGACGCCCCGGCAGTCTTGAAGGTACGGACCTGTCCTACCTATGGCTGCACGTAGTCAGCGACGACCATCCCCGCGTCTACGGGTGCCTCTATAGGTCCCATAGCAGTAATGCCGATACAGACCGACTCATCGACCACGTCCAAATGGCTGCAGACTCCGTGCTACGACAGGTCTCATCCGCAGAGATCGTGATACTCGGTGATTTTAACGCCCACCACGGTGGATGGCTTGGTTCCCGTTTAACCGATCATGCGATCTGTAGATCTGTGTATGACTTTGCCTTGGCTTATGGTCTAACACAACTGGTTACTTCGCCTACGCGGATCCCAGATGTGGAGGATCATGTACCTTCCCTGTTGGACCTTCTGCTGACCTCTCATCCGGACGGATATCAGGTCTCTGTCGATGCCCCTCTGGGCTCTTCGTACCATTGTCTGATCCGGAGTACGGTGCCACTCACGCTCCCATTGCAGTTGCGATCTGCAGCTTGCCGCCGTGTTTGGCACTATAGGTCGGCCGATTGGGACGGGATGCGGTCTTTTTTTGCATCCTACCCTTGGGGGCGGGTTTGCTTCTCGCCGGAAGATCCCAGCGTTGCTGCTGATTCTGGCCTTTTTATTCCATCCTATGTATACCGAGTGACGACAAAGTTATCATATTAAATGAAAAGACGTATCCTACATATATTTCTTTAAACATACACGACTAAAAAAATATATAACAATTAATATTTTAGTCGCCATAGCATTTATTTCGTTTTAATATTAAATAACATCATGTAAATGCATACAGATATCACCTGATGAATACTAGAAGGTCAAAGACTTATGGCGTTCGAATGCGAATATACCTAGTTAAACGTTGCCAATTCATAATACTCAAATAAATAAAAAGTGAAGCAAAAAATGTACTTATGGCTAATAATTTAAGGCATAATATTATGCGCGAAATTAAAAACAAAGGGACCGCGCGCTGTGGGTGTGTGAAAACAAATTCAAGCTAAAAATTAACTTAAAATGAAGAACTTAAGGCATAATTCTCTATGCGCGAAGTGACAAGAAATGGGACGGAGTGTCAAAATTCTTAAAACTTAAAGGACGTGTTAAAACTTAAAAACGAAAATTAGGTCAAGCGACTCATGAACCATCCCCAAGGACGCCGGCGTCGGACTATCGGATCGGTCGCACGTGCCATGGCTCCAGTACACGTTGGCCGAGCGCGCTTGGCGAGCGCACTCGGCAGATTTTCGTGGTGCCGTTCACACGTTGGCGTGTTTCATTCTGCGTTGGTAGCTAGATGATGATGGACGTTAGGGAAATCGCGGCCGCTGTCATATACTTATACAGCGCTTCACTCTTCTCAGAGTGAACGAAAAAAAAACTACACATACAACAATAATCCCAGTTTGTCCTTTTAAGGGTTCCGACCTCAAAAGGAAAAAAGAAACCTTTATAGGATTTACTAGCTGACCCGTGCCCGCTTCGCTGGGGGTTTTTTCAAAATAAATGATAGCCCAAAAGAAGCCCCTAAGCTACATTATCCCTGAGCAACATAAACGCAGAGATAATTTATAATAATATTTATCATTAGGTAGGTACTCTGAAATCGCAACTAAACATGTATTATTTAATGCAGTTAGGCAAGTTACTTACTCTGGTTTTATTTTTATGTTGCTCATGTTTGGGGTTCCATATAACTGATTCATTGTGAGAATCAATCAATGAACAATGAATCAATACTTCACTCCATAATTATTAAATCGTAATGTATGCATATAAGTAACATTAAAAATATATTATATTGAATTATATATTTTTTCATAATTTATAATATTTATTTACATACATGCGTATATATATATATACGCGTGTGTGTGTGTGTGTGTGCGTATATATATATATATATATATATATATATATATATATATATATATATATATATATATATATATGTATATATTTGTATTGTATATGTATATTTATATGTACTTACATAAATAGCATAAACAAGCTAAAAATTAACTTAAAATGAAGAACTTAAGGCATAATTCTCTATGCGCGAAGTGACAAGAAATGGGACGGAGTGTCAAAATTCTTAAAACTTAAAGGACGTGTTAAAACTTAAAAACGAAAATTAGGTCAAGCGACTCATGAACCATTCCCAAGGACGCCGGCGTCGGACTATCGGATCGGTCGCACGTGCCATGGCTCCAGTACACGTTGGCCGAGCGCGCTTGGCGAGCGCACTCGGCAGATTTTCGTGATGCCGTTCACACGTTGGCGTGTTTCATTCTGCGTTGGTAGCTAGATGATGATGGACGTTAGGGAAATCGCGGCCGCTGTCATATACTTATACAGCGCTTCACTCTTCTCAGAGTGAACGAAAAAAAACTACACATACAACAATAATCCCAGTTTGTCCTTTTTAGCGTTCCGACCTCAAAAGGAAAAAAGAAACCTTTATAGGATCTACTAGCTGACCCGTGCCCGCTTCGCTGGGGGTTTTTTCAAAATAAATGATAGCCCAAAAGAAGCCCCTAAGCTACATTATCCCTGAGCAACATAAACGCAGAGATAATTTATAATAATATTTATCATTAGGTAGGTACTCTGAAATCGCAACTAAACATGTATTATTTAATGCAGTTAGGCAAGTTACTTACTCTGGTTTTATTTTTATGTTGCTCATGTTTGGGGTTCCATATAACTGATTCATTGTGAGAATCAATCAATGAACAATGAATCAATACTTCACTCCATAATTATTAAATCGTAATGTATGCATATAAGTAACATTAAAAATATATTATATTGAATTATATATTTTTTCATAATTTATAATTTTTATTTACATACATGCGTATATATATATATATATATATATACGCGTGTGTGTGTGTGTGTAAGTGTGTGCGTGTATATATATATATATGTATATATTTGTATTGTATATGTATATTTATGTAAGTACACACTTTGACTACCTCTATTTCCTTCAACTATCCTTCAACAGGCCTGCTGGAAGAAATTTCATCATGGAATAGGCAGTGCCTTTGTACATAATTATGTTTTTACCATTTTCCTATCGATTTATGTGTGTACATAAACTGTTAAAAATAAATATTTCCTCATTAGTCCATGTCGCCATGTTGAAACAATTTTATTAAGCCGACACTACAGTCTACTCCGACGCGTAACCAGGGCCGGTCAACTTCCTAATAGCAGATTGGCACCGGGAGATGACCTTGGGGGGCTTTAAAGAAGCGAGATGGAATAATATCTATCTCCCTCGCACGTTATGTTATATTGCCATGAAAGAAATATTATTTTAAATGACACATCATTTTAATCATTTTTTTATTTAATAATTATAATACTTTATTATATAATATATTTCGTTAAACATATATTTATTACGTATTTATTGAAGTAACAAAATGTATAAATATGAAACTGCATACTATAATAAAAAGGCAAGTTATGGCAACGGCAAATAAACAAAATTACAAATGGCGGATCCGTTGCGCTTGCCGTTTCGTTCTTGTTTATTTGTGTTACAAATTAAGTTTATCTTTCGATATAAACTTATTTCTTAAATTACTAACGTTGAGTTGAACATCCCGTTCCTCCGTTTTAGTGTTTACAGTGAGAAAGAGACTCAAAAACAAGTGCTGTGCATTGTGCTAAAGAGACAGAGACTCAATTTTATCTTTCATCATGAAAGAAAACGAAAGGAAATGTTACAAGTGTGGATGTTCTCCTGCTCATGATCGTAATTAGTGTTTACAGTGAGAAAGAGACTCAAAAACAAGTGCTGTGCGTTGTGCTAAAGAGACAGAGACTCAATTTTATCTTTCATCATGAAAGAAAACGAAAGGAAATGTTACAAGTGTGGATGTTCTCCTGCTCATGATCGTAACATCACCTTGCATCGTTTTCCTAAACCTGGGAGAACAAATAGCGTACGGTACGTATGCTAAATAGCTTTTTGATTACTCATTAAAACAGTTTTAAAATGTTTAAATTTGAACCACTGAATTAATAAAGTAGCAGAAATAAAAATTATTATGGGCCGCATCGGCTAATAAAACCTAAGATACATATTAAGCGATTTAAAAACGTGTGCAAATAAATCTGAAAATTAGAGAAATTATGCAGAACAGCATGAGGTGTATCACATAGAAATCATAACATAATAAAAAGTTCTAGATGTATTGGTACACATAGAAATAACTTGTGGAATAATATTTATGTATGTATACAATACAATCACATTGTTTGAAAGGAACAATCTTCTTGTATTGCACTCTTCTTCCAAGCACGTTTTTAGCACCTCAGTAGTATATTATTATCTAATTGTAATTTTTCAGATGTGAATTATGGGCGAAGTACTGTTTTCCTCATGAATCTTGGTGGTCACCAGAATTTCAAAACAATCTTCATTCTAGGCATTTAATGTTGTGTACTAAACATTTTAAGAAATCATCATTCATTGATAATTTTGGAAAGAGGCTAGTCAAATCTGCAGTACCTGATGAGGAATGTGATAAGGTTAGTTAATCTTTCTTTTGTTACTATCTACATTTTTTTCTTTTGTGTGGCTTTTCTCATACTGCAGTGAAAATATTATCTAGTTAACAAACGGTGGTAGCAGATTGAGTGGTGATTTATAAGGGTATGCGATGTAACCTACCATTACTTCTCAACCATAAAAAAACAAAAGATATAAACTTTTAAAAAAGTTATCTTTTATTTTAAAAAAAAAAACCTTAGCCATACTAGGATTTTCTCCTGTATTGTGGAGGCAGTTTACAAACATAAATTGGATGAGGACAAACAACCCCCGGCACAATTATTTATAGGCCTTACAAATACTTATTCTGTGCAGCATTCGAACCTGTGACCTTTAGTGCCGCAACTCAATGCTAGCCACTGCTCCACGAGCTGTCAATGTTGTTTAAATGACATGATTATAATTTAGTTACTTACAGAATATATTTACAAATAAAAGAAATTGTTAAAATAGTGTCTTAAAAATAGGATGGTGGTGGTAATGGTGTTAAAGCAACATTCATTAAAAAAAACAAGTTGTATTTAATGTTTATAAATTTATAAAGCTGTTTGAAATTTAGAGATTGGTTGACCAATGCTGGGATACATGATATAAATAATGATTTGATAATCTCTAATTTTCAGATCACATTAGCTGACCTTAATTTGGAACAAAGGAATGTCATTCAACATATTGCAGGTCCATCAACTAATAAACAACCACTGTCTGAAAATATTCAGAAGACTATAACTGTTCCAAATGTATTTGAGCCTGTTGCGGGTCCGTCAAAATTTATACAACCCTTGTGTGAGAATGTAAATTATAAAACCATTCCTGACAAAACTAGTGATATTCCTCAAGTAACTGAGAATATCAACCCTGTTGCTGCTGCAAATCCATCCACGAAAAACAAAAAGGATAAAGATATGTTGATAAAAATGAAATATCATCTGAGAAAAATTAACAGGCTTCAAAAAACTGTAAAGCATCTAAAGAATGAAGCATTTCTCAAAGTATTGAGCAAAAATGATTCCGTAAATGAAATATTAAAATGTAAAATATTATTTTTTTTGCATTATTTTTGCAAGGAGAATTGCAAAACTATAAAAAAAAATCAAAAGGTCGAAGATGGAACATGGACTCCAAGATAATAGCACTAAGACTGTATAAAAGGTCACCTAGGTGTTACAAATTATTAAGAAGAATGATTTGCCTGCCAACACCTAGTTCATTAAAAGCGTTATTAAGCAAGTTTCACATGAAAGTTGGTATTAATGACCAAATATTTAATGTTTTGAAAAAAACAATAAAGCAACAGACTCCCTCAGACAATGAGTATATCCTTATGTTTGATGAGATGTCAATAAAAAAGAATTTGTTTTACAACAAAAAGGAGGACATAATTGAGGGTTATCAAGACCATGCATTGCAGGGCAGGTCACCACAATTGGCAACACATGCCCTCGTGTTCATGATTGGCGGAATCCGTAAAAAGCTGAAACAACCAATTGCTTATTATTTTTCTAGTGGATCTGTGACTGCACATAGGCTGTCAGTTCTTATAAAGGAGGTGAGCATTATGGTCTTTTATTTGTTATTGTGTCAATATATGTAGTAGTACTTTTTTACCATATTCATTTACCCTTTTATCATTCTAGGTTCTGCAACATTGTTTTGATGCTGGAATTAATATTTCAGCTACAGTGTGTGATATGGATGGTGTGAATAAGAGAGCTTTAAGTATCTTGGGAGCATCTGTAGAACAGCCATATATTCTGCTAAATAATCGAGAAGTGGTTACCATTTTTGATACTCCACATTTGCTCAAATGCTTTAGAAATATGTTTTTAAAATATGACATTAAATGTCCAACAAATATAACATCAAATGATCAAATTGGATTTGGTAAGATATTTTGTTTTATTACAATCATAATATTATACATATTTCCAATTTACTGGATATTTACACAAATTTTTTTACAGGTGTTGCTAAATGGAGCCATATAAAGGAGTTTTATGAAACAGATAACACCAATCCCAATTTTGTGTTTGCACCGTGCTTAAAACAAGAACATTTAAATCCAAATACGAAGCAGAAGATGAAGGTGAAGCTAGCTGCACAAGTGTTAAGCCACTCAGTTGCTGCAGGAATGTATGCTAAAATTTCACAAGGTAAATTAAATTTATAATTTAAAGTATAATATTTAAACATATGTCCACCCACTAAAATAATTATTAACTTAAAAAGGAACTAGGCTCTCCCAAGTACAAATTATTGTTTATTGTGTGATATGTGATATTTTTTTTGAGTTGTCTTGTAACATACTTTAAATTATCATCATTTTCATCATCATCATTACAGCCCTTCACAAATCCACTGCTGAACATAGGCCTCCCCCAAAGAATGCCACAAAGCACGGTCCTGAGTCACCTGCATCCATTGACTTCCTGCATATCTTACCAGGTCGTCACTCCATCTAGCGGGGGGACGCCCTACACTTCGCCTGCCGGTACAAAGCTGCCACTCGAGAACCTTTCTTCCCCATCGGTTATCGGTTCTTCAAGCTATATGGCCGGCCCATTGCCACTTCAGCTTACTAATCCGTTGGGCTATGTTGGTCACTCTGGTTCTACTGCGGATATCCTCATTTCTGAGTTTATCACGCAGAGAAACTCCGAGCATAGCCCTCTCCATAGCTCGCTGAGCAACCTTGAGCTTCCTCATCCGGCCAGCAGTGAAGTTTTTTATTGTATTTTTGCCGTTACCAGGAAGATGCTGCTGCCCATCTCCTGCCTGTTTCCCTTTGTCGCCTTTTACGACACCCACGGGAAGATATGGGGTAGTGGATATTCTTAACCGCCACTACACGGCAGGCTACTTTAAATCATATTTCTTTAATCCTAATAGTAAGATCTTAATTTATGTGTTGTTTACAGGGGAACTCTCTTCAGAGGCTGTCACTACAGCTAATGTTATTGCAAATATGGACAAGCTGTTTGATTGTGTCAACGCATGCACACCAGACCTAAGAAGGGGGAAACCATATTCGACAAACATGACAAATAATACACCACATCTCACACATTTCACTTTAATGAAGAAATTTTTTAAAGAAATGACGTTTTTGGGATGCAAACGAGCTCCTCCATCCCAAGAAGGTTGGATATGGTCCATCAATGGAATAGAACGAATTTGGAGAAATCTCAGTTCTAAACATAAATCAATAAAAAGTTTGGAAACAAGAAGGCTCCAGCAGGACCCCTTAGAAAATCTTTTTGGATGCATTCGGGCCAATTGCGGCTGCAATTCAAATCCCACTGCTGGGCAGTTTGTTGCGGGTCTTAAAACGGCTGTCCTTAGCAACTTATCTTTTATTGGGACAGGAAATTGTGAAGAAGACCAAAATCAAGTTATATTGACAAATTTTAAATCTTTATTATCTCCACCCACAGACACACAGACTGCTTATGCCACAATTTTAACCGATGAGTTAGAAGAAAGTGTAAATTCTACATTTGAATGTAGCTTGGAAGAAAGCAGTGGCGAAATACAAGCATGTGCCTATGTCTGTGGGTTTATAGTAAAAAATAATCTCAACAAATGTGAAATTTGTAAAAAAATTTTTGTATCTGAGACACAAGAGAGATCACATACTTTTATTGACTTTAAAGAATATAGTGATCTAAAAAAGTCCCTTAAATACGCCTCTAAAAACCTCATTAACTGTATTGAAAGTAGTGCTACGATGATTTATGATTTTTTAGAGGCAGAAGCATATAAAAAAAAATTAAAAGGGACAATTAAAGTTTTGTTAAAAAACTCAATAAATTGGGAGTTTCTCGATGAATGTCCAGAACATAAAGATATGAATATAGATTACTTATTTAATAGCGTATTTCACATTTGTATGAAGAGATTTTGTATTTTGAAAAATCGGCAATTTGCAGAAGAATACTCTGCATCTGCTCTTAAAAGAAAAATTGATATCCTGCAGAATAAATAAGATAATTACATGGAACTACTTTTTTTGTATGTACAGTCATAATCACTTCAGTGGTGACATTATATAAGGAGATAAAAGGAGAGGGAGGATTTGTCCTCTCTCGAGAGAGGCTGCCAAGGAGTGACTAGCGCTGATGAGGCTACGGATGTGTGTAAAAGTGTTCTCGCAGTCCTGCCGATAAGTGGTGAAGATGAAACATCTGAGAGTTTTAGTCGGAGTGGGTCAGATATTCCTTGCTTCCGTGAGGCAGGTAGGATTTAAATTGAAGTATTTTTTTAAATATTTGCCATATAGAGCCACTTTTGGATTTCGAATATAGTATTTTCGAAACTATCACTTTACTGGTGTGAATCATACCTTACAGTCTTTTTATCGTTTAATGTCGGATAGTTTATTAGTCACACTACAAACAATCGTATTGCTATGCAACTACCTTTTAAGTTTACTATGGTATATGGATAACACATACATTTGTATTTTTTATAGAATTTAGCAAGTAAATGCTGTGACACTTAGACATCTACCTGTATTATCGAAAAATAATAAATAATAACTACTTAACTATTAAATCGATATTTAGTTAGCTGTTGAGAACTGTTTACATGCATAAAGTTAAAAATTAGTTAATTACTTATATATCCATGTAATATCTTATTTATTCTGCAGGATATCAATTTTTCTTTTAAGAGCAGATGCAGAGTATTCTTCTGCAAATTGCCGATTTTTCAAAATCTCTTCATACAAATGTGAAATACGCTATTAAATAAGTAATCTATATTCATATCTTTATGTTCTGGACATTTATCGAGAAACTCCAAATTTATTGAGTTTTTGAACAAAACTTTAATTGTCCCTTTTAATTTTTTTTAATATACCTCTGCCTCTAAAAAATCATAAATCATCGTAGTACTACTTTCAATACAGTTAATGAGGTTTTTAGAGGCATATTTAAGGGACTATTTTAGATCACTATATTCTTTAAAGTCAATAAAAGTATGTGATCTCTCTTGTGCCTCAGATCCAAATTTTTTTTACAAATTTCACATTTGTTGAGATTATTTTTTACTATAAACCCACAGACATACGCACATGCTTGTATTTTACCACTGCTTTCTTCCAAGCTACATTCAAATGTAGAATTTACACTTTCTTCTAACTCATCGGTTAAAATTGTGGCCTAAGCAGTGTGTGTCTGTTGGTAGAGACAATAAAGTTTTAAAATTTATCAATATAACTTGATTTTGGTCTTCTTCACAATTTCCTGTCTTAATAAAAGATAAGTTGCTAAGGACAGCCGTTTTAAGACCCGCAACAAACTGCCCAGCAGTGAGTGCCTTCTTGTTTCCAAACTTTTTATTGATTTATGTTTAGAACTGAGATTTCTCCAGATTCGTTCTATTCCATTGATGGACCATATCCAACCTTCTTGGGATGGAGAGGCTCGTTTGCATCCCAAAAAGTCATTTATTTAAAAAATTTCTTCATTAAAGTGAAATGTGTGAGATGTGGTGTATTATTTGTCATGTTTGTCGATAATGATTTCCCCCTTCTTAGGTCTGGTGTGCAGCATGCGTTGACACAATCAAACAGCTTGTCCATATTTGCTGTCCATATTGGCTTAACACTTGTGCAGCTAGCTTCATCTTCTGCTTCGTATTTGGATTTAAATGTTCTTGTTTTAAGCAAGGTGCAAACATAAAATTGGGATTGGTGTTATCTGTTTCATAAAACTCCTTTATATGGCTCCATTTAGCAACACCTGTAAAAAAAATTTGTGTAAATATCCAGTAAATTGGAAATATGTATAATATTATGATTGTAATAAAACAAAATATCTAATCTTATCAAACCAAATTTGATCATTTGATGTTATATTTGTTGGACATTTAATGTCATATATATTAGATGTTATATTTCTAAAGCATTTGAGCAAATGCGGAGTATCAAAAATGGTAACCACTTCTCGATTACTTAGCAGAATATATGGCTGTTCTACAGATGCTCCCAAGATACTTAAAGCTCTCTTATTCACACCATCCATATCACACACTGTAGCTGAAATATTAATTCCAGCATCAAAACAATGTTGCAGAACCTAGAATGATAAAAGGGTAAATTAATATGGTAAAAAAGTACTACTACATATATTGACATAATAACAAATAAAAGACCATAATGCTCACCTCCTTAGAATAATAATAAGCAATTGGTTGTTTCAGCTTTTTACGGATTCCGCCAATCATGAACACGAGGGCATGTGTTGCCATTTGTGGTGAACTGCCCTGCAATGCATGGTCTTGATAACCCTCAATTATGTCCTCCTTTTTTTTGTAAAACAAATTCTTTTTTATTGACATCTCATCAAACATAAGGATATACTCATTGTCTGAGGGAGTCTGTTGCTTTATTGTTTTTTTTCAAAACATTAAATATTTGGTCATTAATACCAACTTTCATGTGAAACTTGCTTAATAACGCTTTTAATGAACTAGGTGTTGGCAGGCAAATCATTCTTCTTAATAATTTGTAACACCTAGGTGACCTTTTATACAGTCTTAGTGCTATTATCTTGGAGTCCATGTTCCATCTTCGACCTTTTGATTTTTTTTTATAGTTTTGCAATTCTCCTTGCAAAAATAATGCAAAAAAAATAATATTTTACATTTTAATATTTCATTTACGGAATCATTTTTGCTCAATACTTTGAGAAATGCTTCATTCTTTAGATGCTTTACAGTTTTTTGAAGCCTGTTAATTTTTCTCAGATGATATTTCATTTTTATCAACATATCTTTATCCTTTTTGTTTTTCGTGGATGGATTTGCAGCAGCAACAGGGTTGATATTCTCAGTTACTTGAGGAATATCACTAGTTTTGTCAGGAATGGTTTTATAATTTACATTCTCACACAAGGGTTGTATAAATTTTGACGGACCCGCAACAGGCTCAAATACATTTGGAACAGTTATAGTCTTCTGAATATTTTCAGACAGTGGTTGTTTATTAGTTGATGGACCTGCAATATGTTGAATGACATTCCTTTGTTCCAAATTAAGGTCAGCTAATGTGATCTGAAAATTAGAGATTATCAAATCATTATTTATATCATGTATCCCAGCATTGGTCAACCAATCTCTAAATTTCAAACAGCTTTATAAATTTATAAACATTAAATACAACTTGTTTTTTTTAATGAATGTTGCTTTAACACCATTACCACCACCATCCTATTTTTAAGACACTATTTTAACAATTTCTTTTATTTGTAAATATATTCTGTAAGTAACTAAATTATAATCATGTCATTTAAACAACATTGACAAATCCATACACGAAAAACAAAAAGGATAAAGATCCTTTTTGTTTTTCGTGGATGGATTTGCAGCAGGTAGTGCTACTTAATGACATGAAAATGTTGACTTATTAGTTTTTAATGCAGTCAATAACAATAACATAACGAAAATAATTTCTACAAATGTAATATTTTTGGTGGCATCTATAATATAATCAGGTTATTGGAGTTTAGACATAATATTGCAAAGCTATTGCCTTGTTTGTAGAATGTGAATGTAAATAATGTTTTCTTGTTAGAAAAAAGTGTTTATATTAGATTGTCTAATCTTTTTTTTATAAAACCAATGTACTTTTACTTTCCATTTTGCTTAAATGTCATGTTACATATGCCATGTTAAAAATTAGTTAATTACTCCGTCACTTACGTCCATCAATGTACCAACGGTTTTTCTATGTACCAATGTAGACAAGTATGTAATGTAAATAAAAATTATGTATTTCAAAAACCACTTTTATTTGAAAAATAGTTCCTTTTTTATATTAAAATGATTGCTAATCGTTTCAAAAGTGGTTTATGAATGTAAAGTACCATAATTTACAAATAACTTTGTGCTTTTGTTTTCGTTTTAATTTAGCAATATATATCATTGAAACGAAAAACTACAAACTATATCTATCTATATGGTATTTTACATTCTTAAGCCATTTTTGAAACGAAACAACCAAGACGACAACTAAAAAAAAATCACGTGTCAAAATTCCCGCGCAAAAAGTTTTAGGGGGCACGACAGAGATGGCGTGCATTATGGGTGCCATTTTCTTTGTTTGAAGTTGACATTCTTCCCGCCTAAGGGTATTAGTGTTCTGTGCGCGTAACTATGAACTGAACACTCGGCCAACGTGTGAACACTGTTTGCGGCTTGCGCCAAATTCCTTTGATTTGTGCACGGAAAACCGACACTATACGGCTCGTCGGCGAGCGTTGGCCGCAAACGCCAAATATATACGAAACGGCCCAGTACACGTTGGCCGAACGCACTCGGCGAGCGCGCGCGGCCTACGTGTACTGGAGCCATGGCACGTGCGACCGATCCGATAGTCCGACGCCGGCGTCCTTGGGGATGGTTCATGAGTCGCTTGACCTAATTTTCGTTTTTAAGTTTTAACACGTCCTTTAAGTTTTAATTGTTGTTTTTTTTTTTGGTTTTGTAGACATTTAAATAAGTTTCTTAATTTGTTTGTGATAGGACACATTAATAATTACGCTAGTTTAGATCTACACTTCTACACTTACATACACTACTATTATAAAGAGGAAAGTATTTGTTTGTTTGTTTGAATTGAATAGGCTCCGAAACTACTGGACCGATTTGAAAAATTCTTTCACCATTAGAATCTTACATTATCCCTGGTATGATATGTTCAATATGCTATATAATATTTTCAAAAAAGTTAGGGATCCGTATGAAAACTTCGTTAATGTAACCCAAGGTGTGAAAAAAATACCAAAAAAAATCCTTATATCGCGTACGCTGCGGAAACTATTGATAATAGATCAAAGTAATGTACTTCAGTTTTATAGAAGATATCAATATCTACAAAAAAGTCTGCGACACCATATGTTTAACTATTACAGTTATGTCACAATAACTACTTTTTCATGTTAAAATGTGAAATAGTAACGCCGGTACAAAATAGGCCACATT